GCTGCGTCGGAAACGCTTTGGGAACGCCCCCAGCGTTTCCGACGCAGCGTCTCGTTCCCTCGGGGAACCATGGTTACATTCGTAACCTGGAGACGTTTTTCTACAGCTTGGCACTGCACAGCATCTTGTTTTATTCGGAGCCATCTTTATCATTTGGTTTCTGCATAGACCTGCGCGTAAAAACTACATGCGCTCTCGTAAAAACTATCTCGTAAAAACTGCACGCGTGAATTGGTGGGTGGGGCTAAACAGACAGGAGGCAGTGATTATCCACACTATTACATCATAGAGTAGAACATTCCAAAAGCTGTCGTTTTGGCAAACGCCCTTCAATATAAGCTGTTTTAGACTAATGACAAAGTTTTGAGTTCTGAAACTTACAGGATGTTTTTATACGTAGTACAATGACCTCTTATATATCAAAAGATCAAGGAAATTTTGGATTCTCAGTTCATGACCCCTTTAACTAAAATTAAAATAAAAATATCAAATTCAAAATTTTCATACAAACTAAAATAGTATATTAATGATCCTAAAAACATTCACATTCACACCAACCTGAAACCAGTCAATAGTGCAGCAGTTAATGAGAGCAGGGAAACGTCTCAAGCGGCTTCTGAACGTGTCACCAATAGGACTCATGGCCAGTACCACATGCAACTGGCTGCGGCAGCGCTCCAAAAACATGTTAAAGAGAGCCAGTGGGCTGCCGTCCGTCTGCTTGTCACGCTCACGCTGACGGTCCAAGACGCGCATGCGCTCACAAATCTCCTGCTTCTCATCTACGGCAAAGAGATTGGGAACCTCGCCAGTGTTTAACAGGTTACTCACATCCTCCAAAAATGACTCCAACTTAATTTGGGTGTCTGTGAAAAGGAAGACTCCATGAGTTTCCCCAGATGTCGATTTTTGCATGATGAGTTTGAGGTCATCGCGCCACTCTGTAACCCCATAACTCTTGGAGATCTCCACCTGGAAGAGTTCGGCTTCAGCCATGTGGGCGGCCAAGCGTGTCAATGACTGTCGGCCGCTCCCTCCGACTCCTACTAAGAGAGCGTGACCACGGGGCTGTTTGAGAATCCGGGAGATGCGACATACATGTTCAATGGCGAACCGGAAAAGTACAAGATTCATGGGAGCCTTGCTGATATTGTTGTACTCTTCAAGATGGGTCTCCACCACCTGACGGAGCTTCTCAGGGTCACCCACCTCACGGTAATTCCGGTCCTCACCTTTGGGGTCATGGAAATCACAGAACATGAGGCTTCGAAGGTCGTCTTCAGTTACATGCCCATCTGCGTCACTGTCCAGATGCTTGAAGAGCTGATGGAAGTCCTCTTTCAGGTGAGACTTGGATACTTCTTGCAGGAAGCCCACCATCCATGCACAATCAGACGGATGCACTAAGCGGTCATAATACACCCTCAGGACCTGCATGAGAGGCATGTTCTACATTAGTTTATTGCTTTTATTATGATATGACCTATTAAAATTGTGTTTGCAGTTACCTCATGCACCCATAAGCGTTTTATGGCTGTAGGGTCATCAGCAGTCTCTGGTCGTGATAAGCAGATCCCCTGGATGACACGGGAAAAATCTCGAAGGTTGAAAAGGTAGTGGGACTTGGTCGGGGTTGGTAGGAGGTTTTTCGTGGCCTCCTGGTACACAGATATGGTGGCACTGATGATCTGAGAGGTGACGCTGGCGAACGGTTTAGGAAATGGAAATCTGAAAGCAGGTAAAAACAGGAAATGTATTTAACAAATTAATTAATTTATTAACCACATTGGTATGGAGCACCATTACCTAATGGTCAAGTGCCAGTCCAGAATTCTTGAGAAGATGGTGAACATGGTTTTGCCATCAAATTCATTAATGGTCACTGTGTTGAAATGACGTAAAAATCGAGGAGTCACGGGGTTCCTACCTCCACCTGCATGTGACAATGGACATGACAACATGTAAAAGCAGACTTGTTATCCACTTGTTGGTCCATCCTATCATATCAGGCTTGTTTACTTTCTATGCTATAAAATAATTATTTAAAAGTTGCATACAACAGTGATTTGCTTCATAATGCTTGACACATTTGTTTTACTGTGACCAATAATATTTAACTTTGTGTGATTTATGTGAATTATATTATTTTATCATCTTTATTATTCTCCTGGTTTGTCTTCTTGTCTATACATTTATATGCTCCAAAGCAATTTTGGCTTGCGATACTGAACTAAACACTATTTGCTCTGAATAAAAACTGTATTAGCATATAAAAATGACATAAACTCACCAGGCGGACCCATGGCACACATGATCTGGATGTCCACTAAGTTGATCATGGAGCAGTCCTTCATGTCATACCAGTTCCAGTGGTCGAGCCACTGACGCAGGAGCTCCACTGGAGGCTGGGCTCCATAGGTTTCTCTTGCTGGCATGTTCACATCATCCACAAACACCACCTGATCAAAGTAATCGAAAGGCAAATTAGAAAAAGTAAAAAAATGTTTAAATTTGTATTTTTTAACATTAAGGTTAATGTAATTTTGAATGCTGTAAGATAATGTGCTGTTAATGGCGATTAAATACAGGTGAACTTGTGAATCAAGAACACATTTTTCTCCCATTTAATTTAGAGGCAATTAAGAACTCATTTCACTATGCAGCTAGAATTTTGGGCACAAATTATGGTCATAAATGGTCATAAATGGCTTTTGAAATTCTATGAAGGATTGCTTAGTAAAAATTTATTGAGATTTAATCATAACTACTCCGATAACAAAATGGTAATAAAAAGATGTTTAAAGTATACCATTTTCTTTCCCAGAGGAGGGCCAAACACTCCTTTCCTTCTCTTATCGAGTTTAGACATAATAATGTTTTGGGTCTGTGCTGCTGTTGTTTGGGCTGAGAAGTTGATCAACAGAGGACTGTACACATCCTTCTCCAGATGATTCAGCAAAAAGTCCTGTGGGAGATTTGGAGACACTTAATTAGCTCTAGTTAGCACAGATGTTGCATCAAAATTCAGTTTTTTTTTTTTTATCAACACTTCCAACTGTGTAAGAAGTGTTGAGAAAACTGTTTCCAATGTGAGCCTGTCACTACCATTATGAAAGATGCTGTAAGTGGTACATGAGTCTATAAAACAGTTTTATAAAACCTTTGCACCTGACATAATTATGCTTGCATTTCAAATAAGTGAGTAGCAAGCAAACTGAATAACTAAATATGTACTAAAAAAAAACATTGCAATATGGATGAATTATATCTCTTTATAGTTTAACAGTTGACCTAAAAGATGAAAATCAACAACATGCACAACCAACATAAAAGCTCTTATTATGAAACAGCCACATGTCAACTAATTAATGTAAATATATGTACATTTCAGAGAGACCTCATTCATTATAGTCTGAGGAGCCTGAGAATTGCTCCACTTAAGCCTGACACATACAATCTCTTTCATTCCTTAAAACTCTGTGAAAGAGCCATGTGGCAGAGTGTGAAGAATGATGATTTAATATTCATGTTCTAAATGAGAGTGATGAAGTCATCGGCACCTGCAGGCATTTCATACTCAAAACATAAAGACTTTTAGAGTCCTTCAAAATTTTGCCAAAGAATCACAAGGGGGAAATTGTGAAAAAAAATGAAACAGGAAGAGGAACGCAGAGTGAAAACATGAAGTGAGTGGGTAAGTGACTAGAAAGAATGAAGGAATCCTATTAAAACTAGTTCTGAAATAAAGTGATTTTGAACAACATTACTCAGTTTCTTCAGTCTTTTCATAACACAAGATCAGATGTCTAAACTCCAAACTATGGTCTGCCACACATCACCGTTGTGACAGCTGAGATTTTGTGTTGGTGCCACCCATGTGTATTTAAGACAAAAGCATAATGATTCCGGTAATAGATGAAGCTGTTTGGCTTTCTAACCGTGCCACCGACCAAAAGAAAAGCACTGAGTGTGTTCAACTTTTATGGAAAGGGGGTGGGGATGCACGGTGGACCACAGTTGGTCTTGAACCATTGACTAATTTATCATTAGTCATCCTTGAATGCATACACATTCAAGATCATGTTAGAGGTTTCGTGCTCAGCTGGGCAATGTGGTATGTAGAGACAGTTGTGTCATGCACCTATTTTCTTTTGGACGGGGGCACCAGTGGCACTTGCTGAGATAGGTGAGCTTATACAGGGACTAAATGACAATAGACACCTTTATGACACGTTTGTCTAGTTGTACATTTTTAATTCAGTGGGCAAGGGACAAAAGTTCAAATCCTGACTAAATACATAATACTAGGGCTGGACAATAATTCAATATCAATATGTATCGCGATATAATTTTTTTCAATAACGGTGATATGATTTTTAAACACATTTCCGATATTTCGATATACATTACCAGTTTCCCATACATTGATTTATTTGTGCTGTTTGACTTCGTTAAATAAACATGAGCACTGCACGTTTCAAAATCAAAACACGTCGGTGTTTTATATGAATGTATCTCTGAAGGGAATTGACTGTCTTCAGAAAAGTTTCGATGGCATTTTCATTTGATCTGATAAAGAAGCGTTCATGAGCGGAGCTGCTTTGATTACAGCCGTTACTGGAGAAACCGCTAGTTTTATCACTCTAAAAGCGCCTCCTGCTGGCAGAGAATGAGTTTTCATTTTAAATAAGCCCGTCTCCAGCAACATTTCCAGTTTTTGTTGTTGTTCAATTTTTTTGTTTTCTGCAGCGACTCGGAGCACTTTTCATACCCTTTTTTCTGGCTGAAGCACATTTGTTTCAATCTATAAGAATAATCAGCCTACACTACCAGTCAAAAGTTTTTGAACAGTAAGATTTTTTTTTTTTTTTAAAAATTTTCTTCTGCTCCCCAAGGCTGCATTTATTTGATCCAAAGTACAGCAAAAACGGTAAAATGTTGAAATATTTTTACTATTTAAAATTGCTTTCTATTTGAATAGATTTTTAAATGTAATTTATTCCTGTGATCATACATAGGTACATTTTCTGCATCATTACTCCAGTCTTCAGTGTCACATGATCCTTCGGAAATCATTCTAATATGCTGATTTGCTGATTATCAATATTTAAAACAGTTGAGATCCAAAGATCAGCATTTATCTGAAATAAAAAGCTTTTGTAACATTATTCACTATTCCATTCAGTATAATTTGTAATATTTTTTTGGGAAAGAAATTATAGAAATTAATACTTTTATTTAGCAAGGATGCTTAAAATTGATCAAAAGTGATGATAAAGGCATTTATAATGTTACAAAAATTTCTATTTCAGATAAATAGTGTTCATATCGATATCGGAATTATATCGTATCGACCGAAATTAAGAAATATATCGTGATATAAATTTTGGCCATATCGTCCAGCCCTACATAATACTTAGTAAACTTCTTTCATATTATATTTTACATAAGCAGCATGTCTCAGTGAGTTATTTTAATAATTTTGAAATGCCTGAGCCAAAGTCCATCATCAAAAAAATTTGGTATAATCACCTCCCATAACTTTATCACAGGATTGCATTCAACACTGCATTCCCAAACATCAGGCAACCGGAACCAAGATACAATGACAGCGTTTGCTATTGTGTTTTACCAGGCAAAATATTTATTATGTAGGAAAAAAGAGCCACAGGCTCCTTTATTACTATTGATACTAATTTTGCGCATATGTTAAATGGGCAACTTTGGATGGAAACATAGCTAATGTGAACTAATTAATGCTGATAATTAGGGATGCACCGATACCACTTTTTCCAGTACTCGCCCGATACCGATACTTTTATTTTGGTACTTGCCGATACCGAGTAACGATACCGATATTTTTATTGCATTTGTACATTTTTAAAATATTGGGTACAGAAACCAAAAGAGTATGTATAATGTTAGTTGGTTAACTTCATTTATCAAATAGATACAGTCAAACCAAAATGTATTCAGACACCTTCAACATTTCTCACATTATCACAGTTTATTCGCGCATCATTACTCCAGTCTTCAGTGTCACATGATCCTTCAGAAATCATTCTAATATGCTGATTTGCTGATTATCAGTATTTAAAACAGTTGAGTACATTTTTTTTCAGGATTCTTTGATGAATAGAGAGATCCAAAGATCAGCATTTATCTGAAATAAAAAGCTTTTGTAACATTATACACTATTCCATTCAGTATAATTTTTATTATTTTTTTTGGGAAAGAAATTATAGAAATTAATACTTTTATTTAGCAAGGATGCTTAAAATTGATCAAAAGTGATGATAAAGGCATTTATAATGTTACAAAAATTTCTATTTCAGATAAATAGTGTTCATATCGATATCGGAATTATATCGTATCGACCGAAATTAAGAAATATATCGTGATATAAATTTTGGCCATATCGTCCAGCCCTACATAATACTTAGTAAACTTCTTTCATATTATATTTTACATAAGCAGCATGTCTCAGTGAGTTATTTTAATAATTTTGAAATGCCTGAGCCAAAGTCCATCATCAAAAAAATTTGGTATAATCACCTCCCATAACTTTATCACAGGATTGCATTCAACACTGCATTCCCAAACATCAGGCAACCGGAAGCAAGATACAATGACAGCGTTTGCTATTGTGTTTTACCAGGCAAAATATTTATTATGTAGGAAAAAAGAGCCACAGGCTCCTTTATTACTATTGATACTAATTTTGCGCATATGTTAAATGGGCAACTTTGGATGGAAACATAGCTAATGTGAACTAATTAATGCTGATAATTAGGGATGCACCGATACCACTTTTTCCAGTACTCGCCCGATACCGATACTTTTATTTTGGTACTTGCCGATACCGAGTAACGATACCGATATTTTTATTGCATTTGTACATTTTTAAAATATTGGGTACAGAAACCAAAAGAGTATGTATTATGTCAGTTGGTTAACTTCATTAATCAAATAGATACAGTCAAAAAAAAATATTCAGACAACTTCAACATTTCTCATATTATCACAGTTTATTCGCTATAGTTTAGAACATGGTAATAAAATATGACAACAACTCAGAGTTTAACTGTGTCAGAACAAATTCGGCTTGATAATGTTAGATAACTTTGATAGAAAGGTATGTAATGGATTACAATCAACCAAAAATTATTCAGACAGTGTCTGTGAGAAAGGTATATTCACTCGACAAGCTCGCGCATCTGCGCCGCCGCGCGCTCAATCCACTCAGCGTGCTTTTTTTTATCAGCTCGTGCACTTCAGCTATACAGGCGTTAATACTGAATGTTTAACATTATATTCATTGCATACATATACTTCGTAGACATCCTTAATCTCTAATAACTCCATTCTGCTGTCTGTTGTTCTGTTGTCGGTGTTTCTTTGTCTGAATATGGCACTTATCACATGCTGTGTGGTATCGGCATTTGGTATCGGGGCATTTTAACGAGTACGAGTATGAGTACAAGAGCTCAGTATCGGGCCGATACTGATACCAGTATCGGTATCGGTGCATCCCTACTGATAATTTAAACTAATTAATGAGTTTTAATCATTACATCGCTCTGAACTGCAGTAAACTCTCCTCATGACACAATCAGAATTATGCAGGAAATATAAAATATATCACAGAAAGCACAAAATATTCTAAATAAGGAGAGTCAATTTAATGTGTTAATTTCATACAATTTAAGTGTTACAAATTAACATATCAACTCATGCCCCTTACTCATACACAACCACAGACAGACCTTGTCTATTCAGTGTCATTCTCACCTGACAATAATGTGGCATCTTTTCTTAGCAAAATATTGCTGTATGCGATTGCCGTTATTTTGATTAATTAATGAGCATATCATGTAATGATTTCAATAACAATTTGAATGGATTGACAACCCTATTCTAAATATATTCCTGACTGGAGAGTCATTGGTAGACTGATATTCATGGTGGTTAAAAAACCCTGAAACACTCACTAGAATGTAGACGCTCTTGCCAGTCCCTGTGGGGCCGACAAAGACAGTGGGCTTCTGATGAGTGATGAGCAGCTTCATGAGAGCAGTGTAGCGTACAGTGTTCTCCGTAGGCACAATTATTTCGTTGAACTGCACATCTTTGGGGATGGAGGGCAAAGCCTTCAGCTCCTCAGTCCACAACTCCCATCTGCCTGGACCCTGTTAAGAGTATCATTGTTCATGTAAATAATTTTTTAATAAATAATTTCAATAAATCTTCTTGTTAGCGTTTTTATGGTGTTTTGTTTTCCTGTCCTTCTGTGTGTCTTAAACAACAGTGTATATTAACACTGCATTGTTTTCAATTCCACCATCATGACACCCTTTGAAATTTCTTCATGGTGCACTCTTTGTAGAAGTCTTACATACACCACAAAAGAATTATGGGCTTGTTCGTGGTCCTGTCTGTTCAGAAAAAAAGGCTTTTATCTACAGCAGAAAAATGTAAGCAATGGATAATCCATTTCTTCTCTAATAAATGACATTTTCAGCATTTAATGAGGCGTGAAATTGGCAAATTAGTCCAGGTTATGCCTGAAGTTTTATCACACAGAGATAAAGCTTGTGATTTACAACAAATAATAAGACAGATTACCTCATTCAGGATGAGGAGGGTGTGCTTCCTGAGCAAAGAGTGAATTTGCTTATTAGGATTTCAGGATGAAAAATACAAATAATCAAATTCACATGCCTCAAGCTCCAGGAATTAAGTGGTTGATTTTACACTTTGAATGTATTCTAAATATAGAGCTAGCCAAGATAGATATTAGAATTGCACAATTGCTTTCTAGAAAGCCAAATTGGGAAAACATCTTTGAGAAGCTGCAGGAAAGTGGAGATAATTCTATTTAATACAGATACTATAGATAGAATATTTAATAACGATTGCAATAATGTTAATTTTGGAATCTATTATTACATATATGTAGTTTATTATTACTTCTTTAAAATGATTTCACTTTGCCCATATTTCATTATATAGAACATATATATGAATCTGATAATTTACTCTTCATCAAATGGGTATGTGACATAACACGTAAATGGGCTTTAGTTTAAAATGTATGTGAACTGATAAAAGAAAGCGTATATCTTAGGTCCCGTAACTTGTTACTACCTTTTGACTATTTATATACAACAATTAACCATGCTTTATTCTAAATAGTCCTTTAATTTTTTTAATTACTAATAATGCATGTATTGAAATAATATAAGGACTTAAAAGATGAATGTACAGTAATTATTAAAGAGTTAACAGAATGCTGTTTAGATGCAGGCATGATTATATTTAGATGGAGTACAGTTTTTCACATCTTAGGACATCAACTTTCAAAAAGTATTTCACGTCAGCTACCTAATTACCCCTCAAAAAATTAGGATAGGAAAAAAAACTTCCCAGAAGAGCCCAATCTGTTTCTCTCTACAAATCCGCCCAAGTGTGTTGAAGAAACTTCCTGACCTCTTTGAGGAAGCGGTATTCATAGAGCGTGCCCTCAGTGGGTAAAGGCACCGTCAGCTGCTTGGCGGGAGGCTCCACGTGCTCTAGGATTCCATGGCGTGTGCGCGTCTCTTCACTAAGACCACCTGCCAGCATCTCCCTCACCAAGCCATCGAATTTTACCCTTCCTGCTTCAATGCAGCTGGCCCCAACTGACCACACAAGGCAAAAAACAAAGATGCCCTACACAGAAAGTAAGAAAAACAATGTTTTCATGGAATAGGAGGGGTCAAAGCTAGTGGTACATTGTTGTGACTAACAAACAGCTCAGTAAGATCTTAATGTTGACCTCTGATAAGCCCATTTTTAGGTATCATGTATTGGGTTTTTAATACATTTTCTAAATCATTACTTCCTCCATTGTTGCTTTTAATCACTACGACCCACTGCTGACCTTCCCAGAGCTACTAATCCAATCAATTATTCAAAAATATTCCTTTACAAACTCAATTGCACCTTTAGATCAATCGGCTGCAGCAATGACAATCTATACAAACACAGGCGCCATTGATTTAGGGCAAAATGCTTTGTGCTCTTTTGGCATAAACAAACAAACAAAAAAAAAAGCTTTAAGAATGTGCAATACTCTGATGACCAACTAGGAGGAAGCAAATAAAGTCATTCCTATCTGGGAGGAGGGAGACTTTCTAAGCATTGATCCTGTACCAGCTAATCTAGGTTGGCAGTTTTTGATCTACTGTATGATCTCCGTCTCAGAGGAGCAGAAGGAGAAAGATTATTACATTTAAAGGAGAAATGCAGACAGTCTTGACAGACTTCAGACAACACAAAAAATGGCAAAAGTTGCCTTTGGCTTAAGAGATGACCTTTCAGGGCACTAAAGCTAAGATATTTGTAAGAAACAATTGATATGAAAACTTTGCAGTGGACCACACAAACTGAAATAAAACTTACATGCTTGTAAGGACTAAGCAAACTACATTTCAATTCATTAGCCATGAGATGAAATTGAAATGAAAAGATGAGGTCCAAGAGATATGGACAATACAGTATATCCAGTATATGGCATTTCTCCTATGTATTTATAACCTTCTACACCCTCTCTTAAAGGGGTCATTTCACTTTGGAGTGTTACAAGCTCTTGGTGCATAAAGAAGATCTGTAAAGTTGCAAAGACTAAAGTCTCAAATCCAAAGAGATATTCTTTATAAGAGTTAAAAGTCAACCACGCCTACCTAAAACGGCTCGTTTTAACACGCCCCCACATGTCTACGTCACAACGTGGGAAGATTTGCATAACGCCACCCAAATGTTCACGCAAAGAAAGAAGACGTAACTTTTATTCTCGCTGTAGTATTAAACCATATAAAACGCCGCCATGTCATGGAGACACTGTGTGGTTTGCTGCGAAAGAAAAAGTACTTTGTTTGGCCTTCCAAAAGAGGACGATATCCGCTTCGTCATGCCTAGAGCTGATCCATGCTGGT